TCTCTCTCGCTCCCCCTCTCTCTATATAAATCTATCTATCTTTCTCTCTCTCTCTCTCTCTCTCTCTCGCTCCCCCTCTCTCTATATAAATCTATCTATCTTTCTCTCTCTCTCTCTCTCTCTCTCTCGCTCCCCCCCTCTCTATATATATCTATCTATCTTTCTCTCTCTCTTTCTCTCTCTCGCTCCCCCTCTCTATATCTATCTATCTTTCTCTCTCTCTGTGCGTGTGTGACTCACACGTCCTCACCTCTCCCTCTCTCACCTCTTTCTCTCGTTTGCAGATGACATGGACACGGACGTTGTGCGCATGCTGGCGGCGTCGATGGTGAAGGCCACCAAGCCAGCGCCCGCACAGCAGCAGCAGCAGCAGCAGCAGCAGAAGCTGGGGGGTCTACAGCAGGCGTGGCAGCCCGGCATCAGCAGCAGCACACCCATGCTCACCACCGTCGGGTAACGACCCCACCGCGACCCCGCCGCAACCCCGCCGCGACCCCACCGCGACCCCGATATGTCTATTTAGTTGATATAGTTGCCTCGCGGAGCGATATGCAGAAATTAAATAAAAATTGAAAATTAAATAAAAATAATTAAACAATAATAATTATATAATTAATTAAATAATGTCGAAAAAATAGCCGTTTTCTCGCTGGCGATAAATCTCGTGTTCTTCCTCTCTCTCGCTCTCGAGTTTGCGTGATGATGGGCAGGTGGCGCCGCCGTCGCTGTGTTTCAGGAGCGAGGACGGGGAGCACGGCGGACTGAAGGCCTGGTGGAGCCGCATGTCCAACCGCTTCCACCAGCTCAAGCTGATGCGAACATTCCGATTCTCGTCCAATCAGCTCGCGCCACTGCCCGTCGCCCTCGACGACGAGGGGCCGTCGCCGCGGGGGGCGGGCCGCGATGACTCGCTCGACACCTCCCTGCTGGACAGCATCAACACCCTCCTCCTGGACACCGCCCACAGCTCGATGATGTCACTGGTGGGTGGATGGGTAGAGGGGCGTGGTGGGGCGGGCGTGGTAGGGCGGATCAGGGCAGGGTAGCAGCATCTAGGGGAAGAATCATTTATGTATCGATGTATCGAGGTATATACTTCGACAATGCGCATATCAATACAATACTGTTCACGATGCGCATGTCTACACTCTAGTAAATAAAATCCGTATCATCTAGTAGCGTAGTTTCGTCCAAAAAACAACGAAAGAAGCGTAATTCGCAATGAGAAAATAGCAGTCGTTGACTAAACGCTCTACGATACCAACTTCCAACGTCTGCGCGCGTTTAGTTTATATCCATGGCAACAAGCATACGAGAGCGATTCGCCTCGTGACCTCGCTACCTCGCCACACGCTTGCTCTCGTGATGTCAGCTTCCGTTCGTTCGCTCGCTCGTGTTACAGGGCAACAGCAGGGCCAATCTAATGTTTAAATACCAGTTACCAATTTAAGTCTGTGTGCATTTATTTCATCTTGACGACACATCATGCCGATCAAGAATCGCCTCATGGCTGACATCGGCGCTACGTGATCTCTGTCATAGTCTCAGCTTCCGCTCGTGTTGCAGTGTAACATCTAATTTACAGTCTGTGTGCGTTTACCAGTGTAACATCTAATTTACAGTCTGTGTGCGTTTACCAGTGTAACATCTAATTTACAGTCTGTGTGCGTTTACCAGTGTAACATCTAATTTACAGTCTGTGTGCGTTTACCAGGGAAACATTGCGCCAATTTACAGTCTGTGTGCGTTTACCAGGGTAACATCGCGCCAATTTACAGTCTGTGTGCGTTTACCAGTGTAACATCGCGCCAATTTACAGTCTGTGTGCGTTTACCAGGGTAACATCGCGACCAATTTACAGTCTGTGTGAGTTTACCAGTGTAACATCGCACCAATTTACAGTCTGTGTGCGTTTACCAGTGTAACATCGCGCCAATTTACAGTCTGTGTGCGTTTACCAGGGTAACATCGCGCCAATTTACAGTCTGTGTGCGTTGGTTTACCAGGTACTTGGGGCGCGCTCTAACTTGACGTGGACCGCTGAAACCGTGCTGCCCCCCTTCCTGGCCTCCGCGACGTTTTGGTGAGTCTGAGCGAGTCGAATGGCGAGGACTGCGATGGGGACAGGAAGAAGATCTGGCGTCCTCAGCAGCACGCCACCTCGGTACGTTACGCGCCTCCGCGCTCGTCTACCTCTGTTTGTTACGCTGATCTCTGTCGTTGCTCACGCGCGCCTGCTCTGTTCATAATAATTTAACAGTTGTACTGTAATATTAAATAATGATAATAATAAATTTAATAATAAAACGTGACGATACGTACGGCACCGGCACGCTCGTACGTAGCTCGCGTGGTACCGCCCACACCTGCTCGCGCGTACGCTTCGCGTGCTCGCCCACACCTGCTCCGCGTTACGCTCCGTGTCCGCCGACACTGCTCGCGCGTACCGCTGCGCGCTCTAACTCCGTGTCCGCCCACACCTGCTCGCGGTACGCTCGCGTGCTCCGCCCACACCTGCTCGCGCGATACGCTCGCGTGTCCGCCCACACCGTGCTCGCGCGTGCGGCTCGCTTCCGCCCACACCTGCTCGCGGTACGCTCGCGTGTCCGCTCACACGCTTGCTCGCGCGTACGCTCGCGTGTCGCCAGCCATGTCTGTCCATCCAGTCACAGTCACTTCAGCCATCAGTCACCCATCGGTCCGCGATAACACGTCTGTCCCACGGTGGCACAGTCGCGTGGCACGTCCGCGGATTGGCGCGTCGTCCGCGGTGCACTGCCGCCGGGAACACGTCGTCCCGGTGGCACACGTCCGCGGTAATCACGGTCGTTCCGCGTAGCAGTCCGCCGTGGCGCGGTCTGCGGGTGGCACAGTCTGCGGTAACAGCGTCGTCGCGGTGGCACGTCCGCGGTGGCACTGTTCCGCGGTGGACCGTCCGCGGAACAGTCTGTCCGCGGTGGCACTCGTCGCGGTAACACGTCGTCCGCAGGTGGCGCGTCCGCGGTGGGCGCGTCTGCGGTGCACTGCCCGCGGTAACCGTCGTACCGCGGTGGCACGTCGGTCGCGGTGTCCATGTCCCGGTGGGCGTCCGCGGCTGCGCACGTGGTCCGCGGTGTGCGCGTCGGTCGCGGGTCGCATCGTCCGCGGGTGGCGCGTCACGGTGGCACGTTGTCCGCGGTGGCACGTCCGCAGTGGCAGTCGTCGCGGTTGACACGTCTTATGTCCCCCTCACGGTGCACCTCCGCGGTAACACGTCGTCCGCTGTGGCGCGTCCACGGTAGCACGTCGTTCCGCGGTGGCAGTCCGCAGTAGGCACGTCCGTGTCCGCAGGTGACACGTCGTCGCGGTGGCCGTACGTCCGCGGTAAACACGTCGTCGCAGGTGGCACGTCGGTCGCGGTGGCGCGTCCGCGGTGGCGCCCGTCCGCGGTGGCCGTCCGGTCGCGGTGGCACGTCGCGGTAACACAGTCGTCCGCGGCTTTGGCCTCGTCCGCGGTGGCACGTCGCGGTGGCACGTCTGCCGCGGTGGCTGGCACCGTCGCGGTGGCACTCCCCAGTCCGCGCGTGGCGCAGTCCGCGGTGGCGCTCTGTCCGCGGTGGCACGTCGT